CTTCAGCTACTGCTCACGAGTCACTATTTTACCAAAAACCCACACTCAAATTACCAACATACCCCTACATAAAAAAAAAGAAGAGGACACAATGGCGAGGGCACCAAAAACTGCACCCGCGGACTACACCCTGAAGTTTTTACCGGCAAAGGTCTGCCCGAACCGCCAGCTGGCGGGGGCGATGTTCCAAGAGGTGGAGGTGCGGTGGTCGCTGCCGGTCACCCTGAAGGAGAGGGCCTGGCCCACCAAAACCGCGTTGGACTGCCAATTTTGCCCCCAGTTCCGAGACATCGGCATCCACCCAGTTTTCGTGCCCTTGATGTAGACCTTTACGATGTCGCCAGCGTGACGAGGACGAGGTTGAAGTACCTGAAGCCGTTGATCGTGAAGTGGACCCCACCACGTTTTCTGCATGGGACCCTGCGGTGCACACAGAATTTACCGTGAATTAGAGGAGTTAATCCCTTTTTTTTTATTTTTTTTTTTTTCAATAAACTTCCTCCACATCGAACGAATCAATAACAGAATTTAATTAGTTCTGAACAAGCTTTAATTTTAATTAGCTCCGGACAAGGGGAGCTTGATGGCATTTATTAATCAAAACACTGGTTTTAATAGTAGCTGTGTATTAGCACTGAGGAGGGTATAATTGTCATTTGACAAGGGACCCGCCGCGACAACGGGAGCATGTGCCGCTGGTCGCGCGGGCGCAGGGACGCTGCGCGTTTCACGCGCTTTGATCTTTTTGTATACCGAAAATGCCCTCTCAGTTTAAGACGGAAGGGGGGATAATGGCGAGGGTAATTAGGTCATTTGAGGGCGAGGAGTTCGTGGGAAACTCGGCAAACGGATCTTGGAAGCTTAAACGGGTTGCCGTCTCGCTGAGGGAGCAGATCCCGCCATTAAATCGTCGTTTGTTAACATTTATTATATAATTATTACCGCACTAAATACAGAAAGACCAAATTATTCGCCAAAATTCAGAAAATTCAGAATTTTTATCCTTTAAATGTAAAAAAATCTTGTGAATTCTTTACTTTTTTTTTTAATAAAATTCATCGAAAACTCGGAATGTGATCCACATTTCCAAAACATTCGAATAATTCCCAGACTTTGCAGGGAAATGCAAATTTTTTGGTTGAAGCTTTTTTATTCTAACAAGATTATTGACCCCATTTTCCCGTGCGATTCTCAGAATTTTATGGAAACGGAAAAGGCTTCCACAGTCTCTCCGTGTACTGCTCAAATTTCCAGTGGCAAAACCGTAATTAAGTGAGGGATGTGGACATGCTACGGGCGGCAAAATGGCAATTAACCAAAGACGACAAGGCTATATATACTACCAGTGGCAAAATCGTAATTACTGCAGAGTAGGTAACAGGAACGAGAGGATCTGCTCACCTCCGGTAAGAAACGGGGACAATACCAGCGCGGTACTCGGCGATCTTGAGAAACACGGGCATCGCGAAGGTCTCGAAATGTGGCCGCGGCGGCGGTTCACACCACCGCCGTTATCCGACCGCGCAGCAGCGAAGTTGGGCGGGCAGAAATTAGTCGCCGTTATAAAAATGGACGGGCTGCCAGCGTGGCACCACCTGGGGTCGTTATCACACTTGATCTCGAAGCAGGCCCCACAGCTCAGCCCCTCGTTGAATAACGCCGTGCTCAACGCCGCCGTCTCGACGCCGTAGCCTTGGCTGTAGAGGTTCCCGTACCCACAAGCCCCTCCTAAATTAAGAAATTGCAGACAGAAGTGGTCAGAATCAGGGGGGGCATCTGTAATTTCAGAAATTAAAAAAAAACCCAGTGTGGGTAGTTTGGGCCTAAAAACAAATGACGGTGAAATCTCGGGTTCATTTATTAGCAAAAAAGGACCTAGATTATTTTCGAGGGGGTTTTCTCGCATACCCATTGTGCCGGAGGCGTCGCTGCCGCCGTAGAAGGTGGCGTGGGCGGACTGCCAGGGTAGACGCCGGGGACGCGGGCGGAGGAGAGAGAGAACAAGGAGAATGCGAGGAGAGAGAAAGCGAGGGTCAGTGAGAGAGAAGTCATTTTGGGAGGAGAGAGAGAGAGAGAGAGAGAGAGAGTGGAGTGAAGGGAGAAGGGCGGGGGCTACTTATGGAGGCGAGGGAGGTGGAAATTTCCTTTTGTCTGCGTGCGTGACGAACGCTTTTGGGGTTGAAAATGTAAATGGGCGGTGAGGTGTGGGGGGGTCAAGTGTTAAAACCAAACAAAGTTAAAAGTTAATAACATTCTGTAAATATAAGTTTTCATTGTTTCTATCTAACCTCTGATATGGAAAAACTTCAATTCAACCTCAATTTATGGTTTTATTTATTAGGCCAAACTTCATCAAAACCAATTGAAATGACGGTGTTCTCTGCATGTATGTCATTATTTTTTTAATGGATCCTGTGCATTAAACTCTAAAAAGACATTTAGGGCATCTCCAAGAGTGATCTTAGGTTTTCCTTATATTTGATGAGCAAATCTCTCATCCTAGAAAATAAGAAGCAAGTGCTCCAACAATGCTCCCCAAATGGCTCCCTAAATAGTTATAGTTATCCGTTGCAAAGAGCCGTTGTAAATATGGGGAGCCACTTTGGAACACCAAACCCTATTCCCTATATTTAGTCTCCAACATGTTGTGCACGGCGTGGAAGCGAGACAACCAAACGAGCGTGCTTTGAGAATCAAATCAAACAAACATCGAGATAAAGGCCAAACAAATCAAAACAACAGCACAAATCCAAACACAATAGTTTTACGTGGTTCGGCAAATTGTCTACGTCCACTGGGCAAGAAAGGGATTGGGTTTTCACTAATAGAGAAGAAGAGTACAAAGTGAGATTACAAAACGCTCAAACCAATCAACTAATCTTACCAACAAATCTCTTAATCTCTCCAAATAAACCCTCAAACAATTGCTTAGAAAAACTCTTCTTTTTCTGTGCTCCAAATATCCCCAAACCAATCTCCAATCCAAGCCCAAAGAAACCCTAATTCGTATGTTGGTATTTATAGCAAACACCAAACCCAAACTGAATAGAAAACTCAAACTGGGCCCTGACTCGATTAGCGGTCAACCGCCCAAAGCTCGCGGTCGACCGCGATCTAGCGACAGAGACCAAAAAGTCCTACAGGGTCTCGCGGTCGACCGCGCCAAGTCCAGGCACAAACCCTGGATCCGTGCACGATCGCAGTCGACCGACCTTGCGCCGCGGTCGACCGCGCAGCACCCAAACAGACTCCTGCGCTATCCAAAACCTGTTTTGATCAAAATTCATCGCAGTTTCTTTAATTCTCCACATCGGCGAAGTTTTTATCAAAACTGAGCCGACACCAACCAAATCAAATACCTCACTTGCTACGTCCAGTACGAAGTGAAACGATCCACAACAACGGACTCAATCCACAACAAGTCGAGACCCAAACGGGAGTGCGAACACTCACCCAAACGTCGGTATCTACTCACCAAATCGGCTGCATCATAAATATTACCTACGTATCCTCTTGCCCAAGGAATCAAACCTTCACGTAGTTCACTCAAACGGTCTCCAAAGACCCTCAAACAAATAGAAAAGTTTGCAACTCTTCACCAATATCATCTGCATCCAAATCCAAATGATCCCTAATCTGTGTCACCTCAGCTAGAATCCCAAACGATGCAGTATGATCTAGAGTATGTGGAGTAAACTCTACCCAACGTGGAGTAGCATCACCCTCCACCTGCTGCGATATCCAAACGATCTGATCAACACTCTCTACCTACCGAGAGTCTAATGTGATATACCTACTCAAAACAAAATCAGAAGCTCCCAACCGATAATCAAATAAGCCTCTGAATCCCAAACGCACAATCGGATCAAATCTCACATCCTCGATGTGACCAAATATTGGGTAACCAAATATCTGACGCCAACCAAAATCTAAAGCAGCTCCACCCGATCCAATAACTCCTAATGCAGCAGTCGGCGACCTATAACTAATATGATCCAAATATGTCGAACCTTCAAAACGAGAACTAATGTTCGACAACCAACGTCGATCCCCCTCCAGAAAGAAACGACCCATTGAAACTGTCATCTCATCTCATCACCCTAATGTTTTCTCTCCAATGAAGTATCTCAAACTGCCATGTGCTCGACACAAATGCAGAAATAGGTCCCTCTTGTACCTCCCGCTAAAATCAGAATAAAGTGCATTCACCTTCTGCCAATACACTTCTTCAACTGTTGTTGACTACTAGAACTTCAAAACCAACGGGACTTGGTTGTAACCCACAAATACCTAGTACAATCCCCAATATAGGAAACCAAAATACCAATTTACCTTCCAATGATGCCTCCTTGGAAGGCTCCTAAATACCTGAATGAACACCAAATAGAAGACCCCTCAATCATCAAATAGAAGTGTCACACTCCACCTCGGTCTCCTTGCTCATACCAACGTGCTCAAAGAACTTCAATATGCAGGTCAAGGGCACTTCTCAATAATTCAATGTACTGTATCAATAAACAAATAACTCAGCCTTAAATCCTTCTATCTCGTCTAACTATCTCAAAACACCAATAAATGAAGAATAGATCCAAACTGATAAAGGAGAGAATTTTACCTCCAATTGCAACCCTAACAAGAGTCTCCAAACGATCTCACCCCGCACGACGACAACGAGATCCACAAATAGGAAAAATCTCACATTTATCTCCAAACGAAGCCCTCGAAGAGCCTCCAAAGCGATTTACTCCTCCAAATAGCCCAAGCGCCAATAAATCAATGCGGAACAAACGAAGAATAGATCCAAACTAAAAAAGATAGTCTTTACCAAAAAGATCTCACCTTTCTCACCAAACGAAGCCCTAGCCGAACTTCCAAATTAATCTACTCCTTCAACCAAGACAAAACCCTAGATCTAGAATCTGAAGCTCTTATACCAATTATTATGCACGGCGCGGAAGCGAGACAACCAAACGGGCGTGTTTTGAGAACTAAATCAAACAACCATCGAGATAAAGGCCAAACAAATCAAAACAACGGCACAAATCCAAACACAATAGTTTTACGTGGTTCGACAAATTGCCTACGTTCACGAGGCAAGAAGGGGATTGGGTTTTCACTAATAGAGAAGAAGAGTACAAAGTGAGATTACAAAACGCTCAAACCAATCAACTAATCTTACCAACAAATCTCTTAATCTCTCCAAATAAACCCTCAAACAATTGCTCAGAAAAACTCTCCTTTTTCTGAACCCTCAAACAATTGCTCAGAAAAACTCTCCTTTTTCTGTGCTCCAAATATCCCCAAACCAATCTCCAATCCAAGCCCAAAGAAATCCTAATTTGTATGTTGGTATTTATAGTAAACACCAAACACAAACTGAACAGGAAACTCAAACTGGGCCCTGACCCGATTGGCTGTCGACTGCCCAAAGCTCGCGGTCGACCGCGATCCAGCGACAGAGACCAAAAAGTCCTACAGGGTCTCGCGGTCGACCGCGCCAAGTCCAGACACAAACCCTGGATCTGTGCACGATCGCGGTCGACCGACCTTGCGCCGCGGTCGACCGCGCATCACCCAACAGACTCCTGCGCTATCCAAAACCTGTTCTGATCAAAATTCATCGCGATTTCTTCACAACATATGTAGCCTGTTGGAGCAACTTTTTCCCCTCCAAATCCCTATATTTAGTCTAAGACATGAGATAGAGAGGCCGTTGGAGATGCTCTTAGAAACAATAGGGTAAAAAAAAATCACGGCCGTGCAATTTTGCAAGGACAATGAAGTCAAAGTGCAAACAGTAAGAAGATGGGGTGGTAAATGCATGAAGCATAGGATTCTCGTTAACCACCACGGTAGACATGGTGACGGTTCACCTTATTTGTTTGGCGTCGAATCGGATACCTGCAAACGGGACGTTACCTGATTGGGTAGCTGAATACGTATTCGATTAGGATAGCTCGTCTGCAATTAGCAATTTACTGCTCATTCAGGGAGTAAAAATGTTAAAATAAAATTTAAAAAAAAAAGTAAAGATGGGCTGTTTTGCCAAATGGGGCAAAAAAGGGGGCTTCTCGTTGCACGTTGAGCCCCTTACTACGGTTTACAGATTTTTCAAAAAAAAAAAATGTGTAGTTTGTTTCTTTTTTAGTTTCTAGATAACATTCTAATCAATCTAATGAAGTCACAATTCTATCTAGGAGTGAGTTGATTAATTAGGTTTTAAAAGAAGAGGTGGTAACTTTAATAATGTGGTGTTGCAATTATGTCCACCTCCAGCAAAGTTAGGCCCTGGCTCACGAGGCGAACGGTTCGTTCGTAGTAATCTAGGGGCTGTTTGGTTGATGTATTTGACATTGGGGGTTGGGCAGAAAGCCTGCCAAAAAGAGCACTTTTAGCAGGCTTTCTGCCCAAAACGCCTCTTTTTAGAGGCGTTTTGGGCAAAAAGCCTGTCAAAAGTGCTCTTTTGGCAGGCTTTCTGCCCAACCCCCAATGCCAAATACATCAACCAAACAGCCCCTAATGAGGCTCCTCCTCGATACTTGATGGTCACAACCAAGATTCCTTACGCCAGAAAAAAAAAGGGCAAATAATTGTAGTAAATAAGGAAATCTGTGCAATATCAAACATGAGAATTTTAGGATATGGATTTTACCATGAGATTTGAAATCCATATGTGTTTTGTTATGGGTTAGGATTTCTAAAATGTTGTTTTGTTTGTTTCATTAATATTTTGGGATTTTTGGAATACTACAATTTGTAATATTTTGTTTGTTTCAAGTTCAAATTGTAGCATTACTAAATGCTAAAAATTTATAATATGATAAAGGTGCTATCTTAGTGAGGTTACCTCCCATAAAAAGATAAATTTAGGATTTGTCAAATCCTCTTCAATTGGGAGGTAAGTACACCCGTTTATAAAATTTGTCAAAATCCTCTCCAATTGACATGATTTGACAAATTAAGACAAAAAAAAAAAGGGACGCATCCATGGCACCCTTTTCTTTTTTATCAAACAAATTCCTTTTCCTTTCCTTTATGACAAGTTGGACTCGCAACAACATCCTCGGCACGCCGTTCCCAATGTTCATACTTTCACATGT